TGAAATTTTTAATATTGTAATTAATGTAAATATTTGAGTTTCTTTCTTTGTATTTTGACTGTTGTGTGTTTGTTTATTTAATGCATTTTGATGATAATGTTTTGTTCGTTTATTGTTGTGTAATATTTAATTTGTGATCACTCATATGTATATATTTTGGTATTTCTCGAAGGTCCTTGTTACTTATTCTCAGTAACCTGAAGTTTTGAAAATATATTTAGAAATAGAAATATTCTTCTGCTATTTTTCTACCACACTTCCCTTACATTTTTTGATAATTCTTTAACCAACTTTTTTAACAAACGAGCAACTATCATTTGCTAATCAAAACTGCTTTTAGCCATGTGTAACTAGTCAGTACTAGTCTATTTTTTTAACTGGACGTGGATCTGTGACCTGCCATTAATGAGACATATTTTTCTGCAATTGTTTGGAAGCACCCTGTCTTATGGTTTTAGTAGTATTTTATAATTTTACCCAGCCTTCATTTCAGGCTATTCCATGTATAATCTTATGTAAATGTAATTGAAAAACTTATAAATTTTGGAAAATATCATTTTTATGTAATAATAGTGATATCTATTTTACTTTATTTTTCATATTCAATTTTTATTGCTATTCCTTAAAAATTTTCATGTATCTTTCTTTTAAACTAAATTTTGAAGCAATTAAGAACATTCATTGCTCTCATCAGTTTTAAGGTAATACATGTATTTAGATTTTGTGCTTTTGGAATTTCTAATAAAGATGGTGAGATTTTAACCCATTTTATTTTGGCCCTCAATCCATCTGTTAAATATAGGCTTTAGTAGTTCATAGTGAAATAAATTAGTAAATTACGATTGTCCAAAATTTTATTCAATAAACAAAACTTCTTTATATTTTTGATAAGCCACAGTCATGACTGCAATACAGATTTATAATTAATCAATGGTACATGCTTGTAGAAATGAAAAAAATCTAGTTTACCTCCTTTCCCTGCTGTTGGTTAAAATGTAGTTCATAAAACATTTTAGATTTGGTTTTCAGCTGCCACATATTATTTTAAAAATAACTTACAATTTTGGTTGCTCATTCATTAATACTGGAAAATGCTTGTGTTATGCCAGTGGCAATCAAAATTGATTTTGTAAAGGAGTAATTAAAAAATTTCTACCAATCCAATACTATGCAGAAACAGCAGCAGCAAGATGTTAGATGCATATTAGAAATTTGTCAAGTTGTTTTAACAGTTTTACACTTCTTAATTTTTTTATTTAGACAGCAAGTGATATTATTTTAGCTGAAATAGTACAAACAAATTTAGTTATATTTGAATGGTTTCTAAAGTGTTAATTGAGTCAGCTGCTTATTTTTAACTGCAAAATTCAATCTGTTGTCTATCAGAATATTACTGATCGGTACAGGTTCATAAAGACAGCCTTAAAAAATTAAGCCAGTTTCATTAATAGATGGCACCAGTAGCTTAACTAACAGTCATTCTTATCTTATCACTATATTCTATCTCATACGTTTGCACTTAGGCAGTCGGAAAAAGATGTTTCTGTATTTAAAGCATCAAAACTATTCCTGCAAAATTTACAAACACTACTCTTATTCTCATTGTTTAACTTTTCCAATAATCTGTATTCAGCATGTTATTTTAACCTAAAAAGATTATAATATTGCCAAAAGCTAATGCTAGCACCTTTTAGAAAAATAATTCCTGAAGTCACAAGAATGTGTTTTCCAGAAACTTCAAGGATATTGCCAAATTGGCAGGACATATCTAAATGCCAACATGTATGTATAGAGAGGTTTCAGTATTTCTCTGATTCATAGCTGCCCACACTTCCTGCAGTAAATGAAATTTATTGAATTACACAAATTCCATTCACACACATTCCTATTGATTTTCAGCATAATTTTTCTTATCGAATTTTATTTGATCTTTATTATCTTAATCTTATTCTAGATATTTGCAGAATTTTTCATTGAGATTCAACCAATGTTTAATCAACTAAATTTGCGTTTATACAAAGTGCAATTATCCAAAGAATATAAAATATAGGATATTTAATGAAATAATATGTTTTATATTTGATTCATATTACAAATACTTCAAGAACCTGAACCATATTTTATAAAAGAAATTTGAGTCACTTTGGAGTTCATGACTTCGCCGTTCAGCTTGAAAACCTCCCAGTTCTTCATATTTCAGGGCTGGCAGGTATGCTTATCCTTATTTTCATAATACGAATATTAGCTGATTCGTATATGAGTCAAATACTTAAAAGCATGTTAAGTGACCACAAATTAGAGATTTTACAAATTACATAATAAATAAACTAGCCATCTGAGAAATATGTTAAATAAATAAAAAATATGAAAAAAAAATCAAAATGCAGGTAAAAAATATAACAATATTTAAGTAATGGAGTAAACGATAATGCATTTTTTGAACGTGGGATTCTGTTATTAAAAGATTGACATGTAATTCAGTTTTTTTTTTCCCCTTCATGTGCTATATCCTACATTAAAATATGACTAAGTCCGTCAATACTCAAAAGCTAAACAACAAATACTAGAAATTAATTATTTATTTCACATTCAAATTGCATATAGAAGCTGTATATTTAGCATGAGATGCTCGTAAATATTTTATCTTCAGGACAAGTTAATGTAAACCATTGTGGCTTACTTGACACTATTTAGAATCAAATGTGACTGATTTTCCTAAGAACACTTTTTAGTTAATCTTTCTGGTGAAATTTATCGAAATAAAAAAAGAAGCCATTTAAATGAAGAAACAAGATGCAGAGGACTGGTATTCGTGGGATGAAAAAGTGATTTACGTGTTTATAGCATAATATGTCATCTTTAGAATGCATATGGTCAGGTTAATTATTATGAAGCACTTGTGAATTCTTTAGAACAAGTGGATATGGCCAAAAAATTCTGCTGAAAACGAAAGCAGAATTTCTTTCTTCCTGAAAAAGATGGGCCTGTACCTGTGTTTTTATTAAAATATATGCCAAACACAAGGTTGTTTTGCCTTAATTTAAGTTGTACTTGAAGTATTTAGTTTGTTTTTCATTTTATAGTCTCTCTTTGGTACAGTTAAGGAACCGTGATGAAGTGTTAAGCACCTGGAACTCGTTGTCGTTACCTTTCATTGCAAGAAAGATATATCTACTAGGTAGGATTCAAAACTCCCAGACTAAGTCTATAATGTAAAAATATTATGAATTGCAGAAACACATCCTGCTTCGAAATAAGACCCTTATGTAACAACACATGTTTGCCAGCGCCTGTAAAGTTCATTGAAGCATGTCTGGAATCCATTTTTGGCCATATCCTTTAATTCAGCCTGCGACGCACATTTAACTTCATCTGATGATTGAAATCAATGAACCTTCAAGCATCTTGTTTAGGAAATAGGAAGAAATCGTTGGGTGCGTTGACGAGTAGCGATCGGTGAGCAGAAGCGTTGACATGCAACGGCACCCATGACTGCTCAGCCCACATTTTTGGTATCTTTTTCCGGAACAAACGACACATGATTTTGACATAGAGTTCTTTTTTCACAGTGTGTCCTTCAGGGATATATTCCAGATACATAATGCCCTTTGTCAATAGCCGAGTTTAAGTCTCCTGCCATTTCCATTCGAACTCCCTTTTGGTTTACATTTAACATTTGGGGAATGATGTGTTGACATACCCTATGCATGTTAAGATCCTTGGTCAGTATCCGCTGACACGTAGCCTCTGATATCCCAAATGATTCTACTATTTGGCAAAGTGTTTGCTGCCTGTTTGCACATACCGCCACAGATCCTTTTGATGTTTTCATTCATGTGCGAAGTCACGGGACAGCCACAGCATTCATTGTCTTCGGCACTTTCCCTACCTTCTCTGAAATGATGATGCCACTCAAAAGCTTGCGTTCTTGATAACGTTTCACTTCCGTACACATGCTTCAACTTTCGAAAGTCTCCATAGCACTCTTTCACAAGCGAACAGAAAATTTGATTTTGATTCTCTGCTCAACTGATGTCATTTCTTTCTATCACCGGTTACTAAATGCACATGGACCTGCCTACAAAAAATGCTGTCACTGTGAGCTTTCGACGACATGATTTGTAGCAAACCACTTTTAGAAAAGGGGGAGAATGTAGTAACAAAAAACGTTCTCGTAGTCGCACTACTGCAAAAAATTTTGATGTTACATACTCTGCTCGGGAACTTTTGAATCCTATAACGTATAATGGTTAGCCTGATGCTATGGGCTGAAGTAACAGTCAACAATTTTTTTTAACCTTTGCATATACGTAAGCTTTTGATGCTTATTTATTGCTATTGTATTATCATTTTTATTCATATAGTCATAACAGAATCACATAGTCATAACAGTCATATTTGAGTAGTCATAACATAAGGAAACAATTCTCTTCATATCACATACATTGACTCTTTGGTCAAATAAAGTATGTTAGTGACATTTAAGAAAAATTGCTTTAAAGTCATTGCCCTCCTGGAGGACACAGCAAATATTTTGGTTAGCTTCTATAGAAGAGCGGTGATCTCAAAAACCTTAATTCAAACACTCAGTTGTGGTCTAACTTGCATTTTAATTGGCAGATGTCAAATAACCATTAATCTGCTGCTGTTCAAAGTTAAGCATTTATTGGTTAATATACACATTTTATGAAATTTTCACTATTTTGCAGAGGGATATCATGCACTTATTAGTCATCTTTAAATATACATCCAAATTTCAGTCAGATTCATTGATAATTATATATTTATTTACAGTTTTATGATTGTTGTTTAACATATGAGCAGTATTGTAAATTAATAATTGTGCTTTATATGTATGCCGTTGCCTTATGTTGTAAACCCTCTAAGCATTTGCAGACTTTCCAAAACTAATTATAGCATTAATACTACTCCTATTGTGACATGTTTTAACTTTTAAGCATTTATGGATGATTAATCTCATTAACATATATCTTTTACAGGTATGTTAGTATATTAGTGGAATTGACTAGAATTGATGGTACAAAACATGGTTCTGTTATTGCTTCTCAGATGCTAGATGTTGCTATTAGAGTTCAAGCAATAAGAAGTTTTGCAGTTTCTCAAATGGTATTTATGGGAATTTAATATATTTATATTGGTTTTACTAAATTTAATTTAAAGTCGCATATTTAAGTAGTAATTTGAAGTCTTGTAAAAATGAAATGAAGACTTTGACTACCGTCATCATTAAAACATTCATCAGTTAAGAAGATCCTCTGTCTGCTCACTTACTAACATTAATATGTTTCCTATACTTATACTTAAACCCTATACATCAATTAATAGATCTAGAACAGTAGCTTCCTATTACTGATTCACGGAAAAAGCCTGACCTTGTCCAACTTTCAGCTAACTGAAAAGCTCAAGTAACCTGAAAATTTTCAAACTTTTTAAAATGAAAAAGTAAAAGCAAATAAAAAAAATTGTCACCAGTGCAATTTAGCACTAGTAATAGATGATTTATGTCACAACTGAACCATATGATCTTCACCTTGGCTTTATATAAACTCAATTAATTCAGAATATATTAGTTAATTTTTTTAAACAGTTTAAATTAGTAACTATTTATGTGTTTATCAATCGCATTCTGAAAAAAATAAATCTTGGAAGCTGCCTTCAACCGAAGAGCATGCATTAGAGAATTTTTAAAATTATGGGATCCTGGCATCAAGAAAAATGCAGATTATATATGAAAACAGGTAAAGTTTTAATTTAAGTTTTTTATATGTATTATATTCACAATTTGTATATATTGTTTATCTAATTAAATAAAACACAATCAGTTCCCTCAAACTTCTGTTGGAATGCCTGGCACACAAGTTTGTCTAGATCTCCATCAATTTTAATGGTAGTTGGAATTTCACAATCAAATGTGATGTTTTACTTTGCCATTTCTCTGAAATGCCCTTTTTTAAATCTCATGTGATTTAAATGTAGGGATTTAATATTCAAGTTGATAACAAATAAAATTACCCTTTTTATAATTTTATACATGAAAATTTTTCCTTCCATTCATTTGGCTTTTCTACCATGAATTTCTGTTTTTATGTGCTTGATTATCTGAAAATTTCACATATCCATAATTGGGCATCTCACAGATTTTTTTTGGATAGTTGAGCATTTACTGTACCTATGAGATAATTTATTATTTGAAGGTTTTTATTCTTGATTATCACCTTGATTATCTGCAGCTATTTCCTGATAGTTTCTTCAAAAGTTCATGTGAGTGGTGTAATGTCTCTTATATACATGCATATCAGGCTTCATATGACAGCCTTCTTAAAACTGCCTCATTAGATATTAAAAGGTAGCTGGAGCATTATATAAAATTCAGAAAAGTATCACTTCTAACTCTCAAAATCCTCATCGTGTAGTGAAAGCAATTGTGTCATGATCTTTCAATCCTTCAACTTGCCTGCTGCCATTATTCAAATCAAGGATTTATTTCCTGCAAGTGTGTAAGACATCATATGTTCGTAGTGAGGATGAGGTATTGTTCTTTGTAATGTCATTTAAATGTCTACAATGTACAAAATCTTGTTGAGCTACTATTTTTTTTCAGAACTAATAAAACTTTGATTACTGTCTTATGAAGTAGGTGGTGGTTCAATTATGTAATCATCTTGCATTTCTGTCAAAAGTAAGGATGTTTAGTAAACAGATGACTTCTAGTGTCTGTTGTTGCATCAGTCTTTTGCAGCCACACTTTATGAATTTGATGATACTCCCTTAATTTCCATCATTACAGTATTTGCAGCTTTCCTTTTATTACTATTTAGTTATATTCTAGTAATTCAGTTTACTGAGAAGTTGATTACAATTACTAAACATCATGCAGGGTTTTATGATAGGAATGCAAAAAAGCAATTTCAACACTTCATCTCAAAGTGTGTACCCCCATCACTTACATTAGCAGTTTTCTGACTCATATTCTTCTTTATTTAAATCCATTAGAACAGCAGCTAGTAACATTCCTCTCAGATCTGTTACTGATTGCAAAATCATTAAGTCCAACCTACCAGTTTGTGCTTTTTCATTGTGTTTTTAATGAGATATTACATTCAAAAGTTAATAGTAATGTTCTTATAAACTGTTACTGCAGCAAACTTTATTAACTTCAAACAGTGGTGTTTCTTTAGTAGAGGTAAAATGTTTGTTTATTTAAATAGCTAAACAAAACATGTTGTTTCTAAAAAAAATATATATATCAGTCACTTTGTATTCTCATGCACATGGAATCCTAACTTGATGTAAGCATTCAATACCAGATGATATGATTTTTATTCATTTACTTGCTTGTTGGCTTTATTGTTTCACATGCTCTAGCATTCAGGAAGTGCTATTTACACTGCACAAAAAAGGGGGAGAACAGTTCTATATCTCCCGTTCTACTGGGCCGATTGATGAAATTCATCTTGCGTTTATGTCTTGAAAGTGCGACTTAGGATATGTATTAAATTTATATATAGCACTGTTATAATATAGGTATTTTGAACAAAATCGGACTTTTTCTGAAATGACATGCCAATTTCTTTCCGTATTTTGATTCTACAACTCAAATTATGCCAAACTAGGTATTATGCCAAAAGTTTTGTAAAAATCGCTCCAGTACTTTTTTAAAAATTAGCTCTTGAAATTTTAGCTCCTCAATGTTAATTGAGTTTGGTATATATTTTTTAAATTAAACTTATTTGACTCCTCAATGTTAATTGAGTTTGGTATATATTTTTTAAATTAAACTTATTTGATTCTTCCTTTCACATTTCAAAATTTAGGTTCATTCCAAATAATATTCATCTGTTTTTTATGATTTATTTTCTAAATCTATATTTTTAAATAATTTTTATAAGTTTATCGAAAAACTTTTTGAATTATAACCTATAAAAGTTTTGGCATCATCTTAGTAGATGTATTTCTAAACACACCTGCAGAAAATTAGGCCTTTTTTATTCAAAATTTCTTAAGATATATATGAGTTTACATTTTGGCACATTTTGAAATTTGGCATATTTATCATAAGCGATAATAACGAAAATGTGATTTAGGCACTTTGTTAAAATTACTTGAAAGTAGGAACAACGTGACATTTTTTCTTCTCATGCACAGTATAAAAACGTAGTAACTATATGACTTTTTTCCTCTCTTAGGCACTTTGTTAAAACTATTTGAAAGTAGGAACAGTGTGACATTTTTTTCTGCTAATGCACAATGTGAAAAGGTAGTAACGATATGACTTTTTCCCCTCTCCTGCACAATGGATGAGAAAGGAAAATAGGTTGCCATGTATTAAGAAGTTTGCCAAATGAATTATTCTTGGTACAAACTGAAAAAAATTGCACCAGAATAAATTTTTGAATTTCTCCATAGATTTCACACCAAATTTTACAAAATTTTTTGTATCAAAATATGTTGGTTTTTATGATTGGTATATAAATAACATTCTCAAAAGAATCATCCACTTCTAACAAAAACACATTGTGGCAATATACAAAAAGAAAACTTTATTAAAGAAAATCAGACTTAAGTTATCTTACCACATTCTGCCAAACCATAACAAGAAACTTTCTCTATTCCAGATACATTTTTAACTCATTCTTTTTACAATTTAATATCAATGTTGCCAACATATTAAAACTTAAAATTATGCTTTATAAACAAATACTATCAAAATACTTGTTAGAACGATGCTATACATAAATCTAATATATGTCTTAAGTCGCGTGCGTCACCAGTCGGCCCAGTAGAACGGGAGATATAAAAAAATTTCCCCCCTTTTTTTTTGCGAAGTGTACAAAAGATAACCATCCAAGAGTTAGTCTAGAATGTGGTCATAATAAAACTTTCGGAATGTATGAACCCCTAGCGACCTATCCGCTAAACCAATCAAAATTAAATTTCAGATATTATTTGAAGATATGCACTCGAGATTGTGATGATTTAAAACAACAGAGCTCTCAGGGTTACAATTGCTGTGAAAAATTTCGAAATTTTTGAATGGCAGAATCTACTTTTCTCCTGCACAAATTGGTTAGTGCATTGAAAAACCCTAAATGGCTTTGGAACAATACACATGTGATGAAAACTGCCAGTATAAAACATTTACAAAGAAGAGCATTGTAAGAGACCTACAACAGAGGAGAGGAGAAAATGGAAGAATGCTGTGGCAGAAACAGGGTAAAAGTATGGATATAGTTTGCAGTCTTAGCATAATGTAAACCAGATGTTTCTTTGGATCTTTCATGACCATAGGGATTCTGTTATTGGCTTAAGCTACATAACCATACTTGTGGATTGTATATATCCCTTATAGGAAGATCTCCTCTTCCCATGGTGACATAAACACTGCTGCATTTAGCAATGAAGACTTAGCAGAGTTACTAGAGGACTATAAAAAAAAGAAAATTCAATAAGAAAGACAAACAAATTCAGAAGCAGCAACTAAAAGTGATTGAGGAAAAAATTGTCTCTAGAGAGAAGGAGGAAGAGAAGTGAACTTAATTTTTTTGATCTGCAAAATCTGTGAAAATGGGATAAGATGCAAACTTTCATTTAATAATATCACCATGATAAAGAAGTCAGCATAAGTTCTTCTAATTACAACATTATGTGTCAATTTAGAAAAATTTTAAAACATAGACAATAACAAATCACATTGGACAGATTTTGTGGGAAACAAAGGTGTAGAGATGAATGAAGCTAAGACAAAGAAAAGATAAAAGAACAGCCTTTAGAACATCAATTACTTGATGTTTTAATAGAAGGGGACTCCTCATCCAACCATTAATGTTTCTTCCTCATCACTTTCCAGCCCACCAGCGGCCGAGCAGTAAAGATAAAATGCTGAACACTGGTAGTACGGTCCAAGGTTCGAATCCCACACACAGGCTGACTGTATGGGCGTTTCCTTGGTTTTCCCCATGTGTAATGTGTATACGAGCCAGTTTTCCTTAGAAAGTCCTCCACAAAGGCATCCCTTCCTTTAGGCAGATAGCCTTTGTCTGCTTTGCCATAATTAAATAATCCAATCCAATCCTCATCACTTTCCACAAATGCTGTCTGCTCTCCTTCGTACAGATATAGTCAAATGAAAATTTTATCCATTTTATCTGTTTGATATCATGTTTAACTTTTTTATCTTAAATTTAATTACCATTGGTTTTTGCTTATAAACACGCATAGAAAGTAGTGTAGTAATTTTTTAATAGACAATCATGTGTGGTCCAAGAATTAAATAATTCATTTTATATTAATTTCTATGTGAAAAATAATTTTGGCTTGCAAACCTTTCAGATGACAAGTGGCTTTCAGTGGCAAGTTAAATTCATGACCTAAAGTTTAGCTGTATTTCATTTTATATTCTGCTTTTTTGTCAGATTCATGGTATATTATATATAATATTTAATTCAGTTTATTTATCTGATAATAGGCAGTTCTCCTTAAAAATGCTCATTTGCTGCAAGGAAATTCAGACCGAAATAGCATATGTGAAGTATTATATGCTGCAGCTTGGATTTGTGGAGAGTTTGCAGAGTATGTTTTTTCTTTTCCCTGTATAAAGTTAGTGCAGTTTCATTTTTACTTCAACAAATTTCTGGCATTTTAACTTTATGCAATTTCCAGTTTTTGTGTGTTTAAAAATTTTGTAAGTTATTACATGTGTTTATAGACCATTGGAATATTTCAGGTTGCTCAGTTCTCCTTTTAATACTTTAGAAGCTATGTTAGATGAAAAAATAATGTTTCTTCCATCACATATCCAAAGCATTTTTGTGCAGAATGCAACCAAATTATATGCACGAGTTACTGAATTGAATGAACTAGAAGATGATACTGAGAATGCTATTATTGCTTCAAACCTGATAATTGATAAGATGCCTATGTTCGTTCAGAGTGCTGATTTAGAAGTTCAAGAAAGAGTATGTATTACTTATTATTATCAAATATGTATTTTAAATTAATTTTTGCAAGAATGCATTATCATTTGTTTCAATAAAAATACATGTATTCTAATTTACCTTTTTAATGAGGGGGGACTCTTACCTTTTTTAATAAGGGGATACTGAATGTTTGTTGAAGCTATCTTATTATTTATATAAAACTTATTGTATGAGATGTATATATATATATAGAGAGAGAGAGAGAGAGAGACCAATGCATGTACTTTTGATACTTTTTGCAATATAATGAAATGCTTGGCATTGAATTATGACAATGGCCTCTCATCATTCATTGGGCTTCAAAATTTTATAATTGGATTAACTTATATTTTATAGTAAAACATGTTTTGAATCAATAACATTACGTTTTATTAATGAGGTATTATTTTCTTAGTAATCTCACCCACCATAGGTAGTACTTACTCCTCAGCATAATCTGGTATCATTGCCTAGTCCTTCACATTATTTTTATATGAATATATTAAAATAAGTATGCTAAAAAATGCTTATGGCCTATGATTTGTAGAACACAGTGACTTCTCTATTCAAATGTTTAATGTTTATCATATTGTCTACTGTTATTATGATAATCATCTGTTGTCTATGTTAATTTTATCTACAATATTAATATTTTAGGTAAAAGTTTCAACTATTTGCATTGAACATTTTGCTGTGGGAAAATGTAATCTGCACACAGTTGGTTCCTTGACTAGCTATTTGAAGTTTTTTCCCAGTCATATCCTACTATAATTTAAATTTTTTATCCCCTTTCAGCTTTACATTTCTATAACTTTACTAATATATTTCTCTTGTTGCTTTCCTTGAACTTGCCTATCTAGTATATATATCTTTTGTCCAAGTAGCTAAAGTCGAGAAATTGCTACCTCATCCTGGGCTGTTCTTATGGCAGTTGAATAGATTGTCTGAAATTCCTCTGTCTTCCACATTCTAGGGATCAGGGAATGGAACTCCACTAAATTCTTTTGAGCTTACAGTTTTATTATTTTCCTTTTTGTCAGTACCTGTATTTTATGTAGCCTTTTCAAGCCCATGTGAGAATCAAATCACTAATATCAATTAAAATGATTTACTCGTGATTCTTTCTCAGGGCTGTGCTGCAACCATTTCTTGAAGGTGTGATAATGAATTAAACAAAAACAGGAAGCTTTTATGTAAGAATAAATAATAAGAATATATAAATAGGCTAAAAGCATATCATGAAAGGTAGAATTTTGTATCTGTGCTTGACCATATTTATTATATTGGCAAATGTACAGATGTTTCAGATAAAATATGCATAGTGCAAGGAAGCTACGTAAAAAATATAGGCATCAGAAATTAATGATCAGTTTGAGAATGGCAGTTTTGACCCTCTTGTAGCTTTGCAATAATTGTGTCATTGCAGATAGAAAGAGGATTAATTAATGTAAATGTTGAAAACTATTTATGAATTTTACAAGGAAATATATGGTAATTGCATATTTTTCCCCATTGCACACTTTTATCATTAGCTTTTTTGCATACGACTTACAATCCTCATTAATCATGGATGAAATGCATTGAATAAATGAAAGGAGTAATGTTAAAAATAATATAAATGTAAAATTTTCTAATATTAATAAATCTGTTTTTGTGTTTTGTCCTATGTGTGTTTCTGTGTTTTAGCCTCCAAATTCTTCTTTCACATGTTCGCTGCTGATCACATGCTGGCTCTATCGCTGAAGAGCCAATCACATGCTGGCACATAGTGTAGGCTGATGTCCAGGGTACTAGTCATGCACTGGCACAGGAAAGCATCATTGTTTATTTTCCAGTTCAATCAGCATTCATTTTGAATGTGTGTGCTGATGTTAGCATGTAGTTAATGTTAAGAATTGGTTGTAAATGTATGGTTTGGAATTAACTGTTTTATTATTTATTACAAAAATTATCTTGTAACATGAGTAGTACAGGCAATAGTTCTGAGGGGTCTTCATGTCAAAAGAAAAGTACAAAATAAGAAGCTTCTAACGGCTGATGAAATTGCAGATTTGTTGTTGGCTGAGCTATCAGATAATTATGCAGTTGGTTTTAGTTTTGATGATGACAGTGATTAGAAATTCTTTTTCACAAAGATGTCCATGATATTTTGGATTTGGAAGATGAGACTAGAAACATATCTTTTAAGAGGTGACATGTGAACAGCATGATTTCACTGTGTGAAAATATAATTTGAGAAAATGTCTCAATTTTCAAGAGAAAAAATTCCATTTCACAAAGTTTCAGTGTTTGCTGCAAGCTATTTCAGTTACCAATTCTATAAATTACTTGTGGCACTTGTTTGCCAATAATGTATTGGATGAAATGGTAGCTGAAACCAATGACTATTCTTATAAAATACTTTCTTGCTCTGAGAAAAAGTAATATTGTTGAATTATCGTTTCGTAGGCTACCACAAAAGATGAGCTATTGGTATTTGTAGAATTAATTTTACATATGGAAGCCATATGAATGAACTGAAAACAAGATTACTGGGAAACAGATACACTGTTCACACACACTTATACACACTATTCTCAAATAACATGAACAGGAATCGTTTTATGTTTTTACTGAAGGCATTCCACTTTGAAAAAATCCAGAGCAGAATACAGAACCCACTAAAGGTAGACTCTATTAACAGGGTTCGTAGCAGTCCTTATATTTGAAAATAAAATATAAGCCTTTATAAGTGCTTACTTTTTCTCTAAAGCACTTATTTTTTGTTTTTAGTGTTTTTTTTTTTTTTTTTTTTTTTTTTTGCATTTAGTGCTTCTTTTTAAAACAAATGCACATTCCCCCCCTCGTACCAAAGCCGAAATTAAATAAACAACTTTTCTTCCTTATATGGAACGTCAGATGGTGAATCATGCCCCCAGAAATAGCTTTTTGCCCCTTTCTCTGCATTAACATATCCTTTGGTGCATGCGAGTACAGACAGGTGCACGTCATTTAATCGGTCAAAGAACTGCAAAAGCAGTAGAAAATTTCTCTACATTCCGTATTCTTTTGCTTCCACCCAATACTACACATGTTTGAATTTCTATCGAGATTTTAATAATTTACATTCTCGTTCCGCGTGGCCAGTTCATATTCACGTTTATTATGATCGTTATGCTTATATTATGAGCATATGTATGAATATTTATAATAATATATTTGCAGTAACTACTGAAGTATAGATAAACTTCAAAAATGGGTAAGTGTGTTTTAACACAGATTAGTTTTCTAAGTAATAATATTCGGAATGGCATAAATAAAGTAGTCAAATAGTCAAAATAATTTCTTTCTTTCTTTCTTTCTTTCTTTTTTTTAATCCAATGCATTATGCAGTATGGAAGTTGAGAGTTCTTTCCTTTCTCTGCAAAATCTTGAATATTGAAACCGTAACATTTCGCAGCATAGCAGCAACGGACTTTTTTTTTGTCACTTTCCAACCCGGATTGAATAGGACTAAACGTTCTGCATTCTATCAACCAAAGAGAAGAATGATTCTTTTCCGGAAATTTAAGGCAGTCGGTTCAAAATTAGAATGAAAACACCCCAGATTGGTAAATCTCTTTATTAATCAATATGAGTATGACAGGGATATCACGACGTGTCCTGCTCATTGATAAATATGTCACATGGGCGCATGACAGTGAAAACCGTACGAAGCAAAGGGGCGTTTTCCTGTATTTATTCTCCAAATACCGGCAGCTGTTGATTCCAATTGCATAATATCACGCGCAGAAGAAATAACGTACACATGTTGCGCAATAATGTTTGCAATATTTCACAGAGATAAGAGAGTTTTACTGTGCTTGCTAAGCAGATAATTGTTCAGTTCCATTTGGCTATTTTTTATATGATGCTCATATCGAAATGTTAAAAGCATTATTTAGCTGAAAAATCTAAAGAACAGCTACAATCTACCACCTTCCTCTTTTACCAGTTACGCTCGACTATCCGGAATTTTGAGATATTCGGCAATTTCCAAGTATGCTGGTTAGTTAAGCTTTTACTGGTAAAGGATGGCTGCATGAAGCAATTTCCTGTCTTCTGATTTCAGAAAAGTTCCTCTTTTGCTTATTTTTACTTAAATTACTTTGCTTGCAATATCTGTTAAGGGAAAACTGTTATAGAATGAAAATTTAGAAAATGTTCAGAATTTTGATCTAAGTTAAATTATTTAAGTATTAGTAATATGAGTGGGAAAATAAATTGTATTTAATTTTAGGCACCAAGTGGATATAATAAATACAGTCAAAAGTCTTTATTCCAGACTCGTCGGGACTTCAGCGATTCCGGATTATCGGTTTTTCCGGATTATAGATCATCAGTTTAAATCTGGTAAGATGGCATGCAGAAATTATAAAATTAAAAATTTAAATCTGTAATTTATGAAACAAAGAGCAATTATGATGTAAAGGGTATCAAAATTTACGAAAAAAATAGCTTAATATTTATTTGTTTACTTTATTAAACATTTCTTTCAACGCGTGCATGCGTAAAGCATACATTACGCATAGTCGAAATTAGAAAATTGCAACCAGAAAACTATTTGATGTGTATTCATGTAATTTATAATGACGAGGAATTTTATTTAAATCATATCAAAGATGGAGTACATCGAGATGAAATACTACATTTGGTAAGGAATTATAAGCTGAATAAACAAAATATCTGCCCTGAAGATAAGGATAGTGCTGACATATCAACTTCCAGTTCATTGCGCACCGCGAAGTCTCCCCCGCCCCCGCAGTGCAGCGTGAAAATGATAAACAGATTTCGGAATGGTTAGAGAAACAAAGGATATATATGCCTTTATCCATTTTTTGCAGCAATTCCACTTTTTGGTTGATGGACATCGAAACATGCTTTCGCTTTGTAAATCCTTTGGCAGCTCCAGAATCGGAAATTCGTTATCACATAATCGAAAGCTTACTTTTATAAAATTGCTCTAAAGCGCCGTTCCCACTGGGGTTTATCTGAGCTAACGGAGTCAGTTCCCTGTGTCGACTAGCTCAACTGTGCCTGCAGTTCAGATTTTTCAACTTCTTGCTCTATGGGGAAAAACTGGTTTTGGGGATGGGTCGACTACGTTAATTGTGTTCGTTAGTTCAGATAAACCCCAGTGGGAATGGGCCTTAACAGTCTGCAAAAAATAATAAGCCAGATCCAGTTAGAAGATTAAGGAACAACGCAATCTGCAACATTAACTGAAATAGATAATTAGATCATTTTTGATTAGCTTATACCGTCCGTTATACATTAAATGCTCATGTGTAAACGTATTATGCACATGCGCAGAAAGTTTGTAGCTTTGAGGTCTGGATTTTAGATCATTCCGGATTAAAGACTTTTGACTGTATATATATTATTATTTATTTTCTGTATTCTAAAATGAAATTTCATCATTAAATCTTGTAATATAATTTAGTTCTGCATAGTTTTTTCCCCTCTCATTGTAAACTAGTTCTGTAAATTGAACTGTTATTTAAAATTAAAAAAAAGAATGTAATTGTTTCCATGGTTGAGTAATGCTCATTATCTCTTAAATACTGAATTTCTCGTATTTTGAATTCCAAATCTAATTTTTCCTTTAAGGTTATGCAGTTGCGTATAATGTAATTAGACAGGTGCTTATTTTTTTCTTAAAATGTGTTTGAAAAGTGCATAGAGGTGCTAATTTTTTTAACTGAAATGTGGCTATGAACCCTGTATAAAGCCAGAAATTTGGCAGATTTGTTCAAGGCATGCTTATCTGAAATGTGTTACCCAGGATGAGAGATTAGATATATCATGATATTGTGACATGGAGAACTTATTTTTAGACAGTATTTCAAATAAAGGCCATAAATGTGATATGAAGTTGTGTATGATTGTGATACCTTATGGTATGGTTCTCAAATTTATGGTAAATATAGGCATGTTGTACGATTCTGGTGGAAAAGAACATGCAAACAAATTTGTGCTGAATTTGATGAAATTCGAGATGTAGAACATGAGATATTTATGTACAATTATTGAGGTGAAATGTCTTGCTAATAGAAAATCGCATTGTATTGGGACAATTAGGACAAATATCAAGACATTTCCAAAAGAGGTTCCCAGAAAAACTAAAAGAAAGGGCAAACTGTAGCAAAATATGCTAATGGTGTAATGATTGCTAAATGGAAGGATAACAGAGGTGTCACTTAGGCTCAAGGTCACCAGGCTCAAGCAGAAAAGATCACTCAACGCTGTTTGTCCCATGTTTGATTACTAGCAAATGATTGAGCTGGTTTGTTGTAGCTTTTGCAGTTCCTTCATTATGTAACATGAATATGGGCCAGTTTTCCAGTGAAAGTCCTTCAAGAAAGTCTGTCCTCGAAGGTAGATAAGCCTGTGAGTGCTTTCTTTTAATTATCTGACCAACCATCTGAAACTAGTGATACAAGTTACTCAGAGCAAGTTGTAGTTTAATTTTGACAACAACTTTCTGTGGTAGTAATAAAAGTAATCATTCACTCTCTCATAAATTTCTTTGAGTTGCAGTGTCTGCATAACTGAATTAAAAACTGGCTCTGGATATTTTTATGGCATGTAAATTCAGTCTGATGTGAAATGTCACTACTAATAGATTTAATTAACTAAATCGAGAAGCTTAAAAGGTTCTCTCATTTTGAGTTCTGCTCCAAACAAATATTTTATATGCTGTGTCCATTTCATACTTCAATAAAATTAACAATATTCCTGTATTTCTAGCCAATAACATAAGTTTAGCATCTCTAAGAAATAAGGTAATTAATAAAATTATAGTCTTCAATAATTTTGATGGGAGAAATCTGTTAATTTGTTTTACCAGAGGGCTTTGATTTGGATAGAACTTAAATGTTGTCCTTCCAATGTGCCTGTTCCAAACTAACCTTTCAAAAATCCATTAAGAAATCCTGAGATATATTTTTCATAGAAACCCTCAAATTTTTTCAGCAAACTCTGCTTGAAGAAACAAATTTTGTATGCAGAAATAGCTGTGAAGTTGTAGAGACATTAGGTTAATTTTTGGAAGCCAGAGATGAAAAATTAGCAACCGCCTTCACCGAGAATCGAACCAGGGACCTCTGGAATACCGGCCCAGCCTGCTATCGTTACACCACGAAGGCACACTAGGGAAGTGGAAGAAATACCTTATATACTCCCCCTTTTTAAAGGGTGACTAGGGTTTTAGGGGACCTAGTCACCAAATCCTGGGTGCGGAGAATTATCATCCACAACCCTTTTAGTTTGGGTGCCACTTGTAGAGTCATTAGGTTAATTGGAAGCAGAAAAGATGATAAATAGCAAACGCCTTCTCCGGGAATCGAACCACGGACCTCTGGAATACCGGCCCAGCGTGCTACCGTTACAACACGAAGGCACGCTAGGGAAGGGGGAGAAATACCTTATAAAGTAACAAGGAACTGATGAATTTTGTAAGTTGGGGATAAGTGGCAATTTTTTTTTTAATAGAGGTTTATCCTTCTGAAAACTAAGAATGAGTCAGAATGAATAGGTACTTATTGAATAAATATTATATTTTCTTAATTTTTTTCCTTCTTAGTGGTTTGATCCAAATTTTCCTTTTATAGTTATTAGCAGGATTATCATATTTCTTATATGACTGGTTGAACTTCCTGTACCGCCATTAGAGGCTTAACAGGACTTAGTGGAGCTATTTAATTAAAGAAACATTGAGATCTAAAACAAGGCCTAAATCAGGCCCATTAAGCAGAACTACCTCCTTACTACCTGAAATAACTTAAAATAGAATAAACAACTAAAATATGAACTTAAAGTTTAGGAGCTGGTGAGATTTACCAGCTGCACCAACAAAAGCACATTATTACATACTTTGTAAAATATAACATGTGCTACTTGCATGCATAAAAATATGTTACTTACATATACAAAGAAATAAAATAACAGAATATCATAAACATTCTAGTTTTCCTTTAAACAGACAGGTAAATTTTAAACGCAATCAATATATAAATTCATTTCATTTACAGATACATATTTTATGGAATTTGACAATTTCAATTTAGTCAATGTATTTTTGCTTAGATCCTTTAGAGTATTAAATTTAGCAATATCTGTAATAAATCTTAGAACAATATTTTTCATAGAAGAGCATCTAAACAACAGGTGCTCAATATCAACATTACTCATGCTACATGGAAAGGCACAATTTTTAATCAAAAACCTATTATAATAAAAAAGGGAAAGTGTCCATGATTAAAGCTTTTTTAGAGGCATCTTTTCTCACTTACAATTGAGATTAAATTATAAGTGAATCTTCTTTTCGAATCTGTGTCGTTCCACTTTGCTTGCCGTAGAGTCAAACTTTTTCTTTTCAGCAAGGATTTCAAACTGTCAAAGGAAGTCTTTACTTCAAAATCGATAATTTGATTTTCAGTGGTAGCCTTTGCCAATCTATCTGCTAACTCGTTACCAATGGTACAAATATGACTCTTCGTCTAAAAGAGTTTAATATCTAAAAGCACTAAGAAAAATGAGCATGTCTCATTGAGTCAATGAGCATTTAATTAGATCGTTACTTGGACAAACACCCATAATTGAAACAATTGCACTTTGCAGTCACTATAGATTTCTACAGGATCTATCACAGAATTAGAAATAAGCCAATACAAGGCCTCTCGCAGGGCCACTAACTCTGCATGATAGACAGAGGCATAGTCAGAAAGTCTACATTTCCTTTGTAAGCTTAGTTTCTCATCTGAGAACACACAAAAGGCTGCCCCCACATGACCATTTAATTTATATTCATCTGTAAAAATCATGTAGCCTGTCATATGGGGGAGGCCTTTATGCCAATTCAACCATTTCAACAAAGCTGGAGGAATGTCTAAGCCTTTTTCGAAGTCAAACTCTTTAGCTGAGAAGATCTCACTGAAACAATCGACAGTTTTATTACCAGCTTTTAATTTAAAGATAACATATTCTTTTTCCGCTAAAATATCGATCAGACGACATCTAGCCAAAATCTGAAGAGCTACTGTGGAAACAGTTCTAAAACACTTAGTAATCCTCAATAAAGCGATTCTTTGAATTTGCAAAATTTTGTAACGCATTCAGTCCGTTCCAGTCCACCATGTGCCACATGCACCATTATCATATTTCTTATATGATAACCCTACTAATATTTCTATTGGCTTCTATTTGCTCTTAAACTAATCTCCTGTGACTGGCAAGAGCTGAAGTGGGAGGGGACAAGTCAGTTTAAACTATGCAATAATTCTACTGAATTTAGTGCAATTTTATAATTAGTTTCAAAGTTATATGAATGATATACAAATGTAATAGCAAAAATCCTTTTCACGTTAATTTTAATAATGCATTATTATGAAATTAAAACTTCTATTTTTTTTTTTTTTTTCAATTATGAGATTGCATAAACTGCATATGTATTTTATTAATATTTTCCATTTCTGTTAGGCATGTTGTATTCTTCATTTAGTCAAACAAGTTCTTAAGCTCCAAACAAAAGGAGAGAAAGTTTCTTGTGAATTGCTTTCTTTATTTGCTGGTGAACTGAACCCTGTAGCTCCGAAAGCGCAAAAAAAAGTGCCTATTCCTGATGGGTTAGTTATTTGAGTTTATGAAAGCTTTTTTAAAAAATTGCTAACCATTTCTTTTTCTGTATATTTTATGTGTCTAGAAATTATTATCATTATGACTTAGTTATTATATGTAAAATTGAAATGTATTCAAAAGCCTTAAATTTGTGAAAATGCTTTCAGAAATTTTGCATGTTAATAGATATTAAATCCAGTTTAAAATGCTCTCTGTATATTTATTACTTACAAATGCTTATGAGGGAAGTTGCTAAATTTATTCTAGACTAGGTGTACCCGCCCGGCGTTGCCCGTGCATTTAGAAAATGCAGATAAGTGAATAGCGCAGGAATAGTAGTGTAGGACATGTAGACTGTCTCTCTCTCTTCCCCCCCCCACAAGCTACAAAAAAGAAATGAATTGTAATTAATCGATTTAATGTATCGTCAAAACAGCAAACTAACGCTAGAATAAAGAAATCAATTGTTACAATCGAACGTTATTTGAAAACAAATAATAATATCAGTGAGTCAAAAAAACCGTGATTAATTAATTATAAATAATTTTTTTTTAAAATTTTTCTAATTCAAAAATCCAAAATCGGGCTTCGAGGTCTGGTGGCCAGCCCCTTTGTGCTTCCGTATAAAAAATTCCAGGTCCCTGCGTGCGATAGATTTGGCTGGAGAGCTCGGTCAGACAGACAGACAGACACATTACACTTGCTTTTATTATTATAGATAAAACTTGTATTTGATGCTGGAATGTTGTTTATGGTTCTGTAAAATTTTAACATGCTCTGAACATGCTCAGGCCCAAATCATTTGGACTGTTACAATAGCTCATGTGAAAAGGTACATTCTTATCTATATGTACTACTTTAATATGCACTCTGAAAGATGTAATAGAAATGAAGCAAACTTAATCTTTAAAAGTATGATCAAAATGAGAGAATTAAAAAAAATCTTCTGTTTGGAAGATTCTTCATGTTGCTGTCTTTTTTTGGTCATGTAAACAATGCATATTTCATAGGAGAATCAGTGTACTTCTTAAGAATTAAACATGTAGCATAAATAAAATGTAGCAAAAGCATAAAGGAAACAGGTATTTAACACCAGCTGCATTTACCAAATTGAATCAATGTTTCATAGTTTTTACAAGGCTATAGCTAGGATTTCAACACTTAATTTTAACTGGTACCTTTTCTTTTAATTTAAGATTTTAAATTTTAAAATCAGATATATCCCCTATTTATATTAAAAATTTATTATTTTTACCTTAAATTATTTTTACATTTCATATTGGGAAATTTTCCCTTTAAGAAGTTGGGTTAACATTATAATAATTTTTTCTGTAATGTGATTATATTTTGATCAGTAAATTGTCTGATAGTAATTCTTTTGTATTAGAACCAAATATTGTTGCCTGTTTTTGTTAGCATTCTATTTTATTGTGATTATTTACTTTTATGAAGTGTCAATTCTAATTAATAGCATATAATATATGTATGAATTGAAGAGGCATTAAAATAAAAACCTTTACTGTACATAAATTTGTAGTCGCCAAAAATTTCATAAAAGTTGAATAAAGTTTTGTTTTAAAGTATCATTAATACCTTTAATTTCAATCTGTTTGTGCCATGAAATACAGAAATTTGGTGTGAATTTATTTGTTTTTTAGTTTAGATTTAGATGCTTGGATCAATGAACCCCCTTCAGAATCTTCGTCTGAAGAAGAAGTTGGTGGAGATATTTTTATTAAGACTGAGCACAAGTTTGTATAATTTTATGAAATTATTTTCCATATCCATTGTTATAAAGAAAAGGCCTTAATTAAATGTATTATATAATTAGTTTTATTTACATTGGATGACATCCCTGTTTTATTTTTGTTAATTTATTTTATGTGCATAATAACACCGGTTTTTCTTTTCGTTGTGGCTGAGGGACTTTATATAGTGTATGTTGTACTGTGCTGTGCCATACTCACAAATCATCAAATTATCTAGCCTTGAGTGTAAATTTTAAGGAGAAAAGGAATTTGTGTTCTTGAATACTAAAGTTAACAGCTGAATTTTTCAACATATATAATTTTACTGTTTTTATATTCATCGCCCATTATAGAAGTATGAGCAGTATGGTAAAATACAGCACAAAGTCTGAGATCCGGACGTCTCATATCCGAAATTATATAAAATCCGGACCACAAAGAGCCTTTTTTTTATATATATGATTTACACATACGCGTTTTGATTTTTTTCCCTCATAAAATAGTGGAGAGTCTCAATTCTTAATTTCACTTTGGCAATATTAAAATATCTCATTATTGAAGAAACAATCATTTTAGCATAAATTTGTGTGATCAATAATTTGACTCATAGCTGCGTATTTGCTTGGCATTAATCTCAAACTGAAACTTTCTACATAGAAATATTGTTGATTTTAAACCTTCTAATGCTTTATATCCCTGATGCCTGTATTTATTTATTCAGGACTCAGATAAGCCTTAAGCATGTGTAAAAATATACATAAGTATAATAAACACAATTTTGGCTTCATTGTCTCAGTGTGCGAAAGAAGCAAGACAAAATTTAGCTGAACAACTTGTCTTTCGTCTCCAATCTCATGATGCACAGTCAGTAATATATAGCAGAAGCTATTAAGCTAGACTAAAGTTATACTTTACTGAGTCCAAAGGAATTTCAGTTAGCAGATTGCACTCTTCCTGAACATTCTGATTTCGCCCAGCTTATTATTTTTTGCAAACTGTTATTATTACAGCAGTTTTATGAAAATTAAAGTTTGAACTTTCGATTATGTCAAAAGAATTTCTAATTCTGAAGCTGCAACAGGATCTAAAAAGCAAAACCATGTCTAGGTATCCGTTAAACAAAAAGTGGAATTGCTGCAAAAAATGGATGGAGGTATATCCGTCTCAAAATTATGCGAGGTGTATGGCATTGGAAAGTCAACTGTATATGGCATGAGAAAACAGGAAAAGGACATTTTTTATTTTTTGGATTCCATCACCCCATTCACAATGAATAACAGAAAAATTATTCTTTGTGCTAAACATGATGCTTATAACAAAGTAATGATTGAGTGGGTCAGACAGCATCACAAGTGTGCCATTGACGGGTCCAATGTTAATGGCTCAAGCTAAAATATTTCATGAAGAAATTAAAAAACTGAGTGCACGTATTTGACAGCTTGATTAACCAAAATGTAAAATTCACATGGTATAAGGCAATTAAAAATTTCAGGTGAAAAAGCTTCAGCTGATCCTGAAGTTGCTAAACTATTGCTGATGAAGTTGCTAAACTATTGCTGATGAAGTTGCTGATGAAGTCATTGAACTCATTAATAGTAAAATGTTGTCTCCAGGACAAATTTACAACGCTGATGAGACTGATCTTTTTTGGCAATATGTACCGCGAAATTATTTGCCAACCTTTACAGAAAAAACTCCAAAGATTCCAAAGCAAGACTTAACGAGTTTAGCATACACAAAGCCTCCAGGAACGCACTAGTGTAAGCGTTTTGTAATTTGAAAAAATACATGACCTCTGGCATTTAACCCGTAGCAGGGAAGGTCAGATACTGGGACATAACCAGGGACGTGTGGTCATAGAGACTGCTTCTCGTTATGATTTAAATAAAAAGTTCTAATCAAAATATTAAGATTTTATTTTACCCATACATTCTATAAACACTTACCTTCAAACAGAAAAAAAAAAATTATTTTACAAAGAAATCAATCAACACAAGGCACATCTTTTCTGCAACTTGAACTTTTTTTATGAAAAACCACTTGCAAATGTAAATTATGCAAAACAAACCAGAATAACTATTATTTTTATGAATAATAATAATTATTTTCTGTTAATGTAACATATGATAAATACTAATTCAGAAGTCAAACAACAAAAAATCAGCATTAATTTTCAAAATTTTTCACAGAACTTCTGTGAAAATTTTGAAAATTAACGCTGATTTTTGTTGTTTGACTTCTGAATTAGTACTTATTCGGCGTGTTATTGTGTCTTAATTATATGATAGATACTTTCAGATGAAAAATATAAATATTGTAAGAAACATAAAAAAAATGACAGTACCTTAACTATCAGTGATACCATTGTGTTCTACGCATAAATGCGAAGTTTGCAGTTCTTTCTTTTTTCTCTAATATTTCGTTTGTGAAAAGGAGTTCCTAAATGCTTTTAAGATCCGTATTTTCACCTAATTTTCCATATGCTCTTAATCCTGAAAAATGAGCTATATTATGCTTGGGAGTTCTCACATTTCGTTGAGGTTCAGTAGATGACCACTTGAAGTGGTTTTTCTCATAATAATATTTTGTAGATGAAATGGCTTCAGTCACTGGTTCAGTGCATTTATTGTCAGATGCAGAAAATTCTGATGTCGTGGAATGCGAACTTTCATTTGCAAAATGTTCTTGGTATTAATCTTCATCACTAAATTCACTTCCCACTTCATCCAGAATTCTTTGAAGCTCTTCTGCATAACGCAAATCAGAAGGATATATGATATTTCTTCGACCAAGTCTCAGAGCCATGTTTCCGCCCGGGACAGAAGTCATGACACTGAGAGGGAGGTGCGGTCTGACGTACCGCTCTCAGACAAAGGGCTAGAATTTCACAATGAAGCAGGTGCAAAAAATGTTAGCCAATGGATGAGAATTATCAAAGTCACAAAAGGAGAAGCTAGCAGGAGAATCAGCTCAGTCAGACTAAATATAGAATAGGGGTGATAGGAATAACACTTGTAGTGGTATCTGAGACCGCACCTCCTCAGTTATGGGTTAAAGCAGTAAAGATTGTCCTCATTATATTGTGTAAATAAAAGAGCATGTATGACACAAACGTTAATAAATGACTGGTTTGAAAATCGTTTCATGCCCGAAGCTCGGCGACCTTTGAATATGGTTGGTTTACCTGATGATTCAAAAATTGTCCTGATTGCAGACAACAACACAGCTCATACTTAAAGTTTCAGTGAAAGATAATATATCCGTATTATTATTTCCTCCAAATTGTACATCCATGATTCAGCCTATGAATATCGGAATAGTGCACACGATTAAATGCAAACATAAAGTAGCATTTTTAAAGTCCATGATAAATTTCTTGAATAATGGCAAGACTATTCAAGAATTTTTTGAAGTATTCTAGCATAAAATTTGCTGTGTGGAGCATCGCAAAATCATGGGTGTTTCTCCAGATACTTTAAAAAGTACTTAGCATAATTTATGGCCAGCTAATATATTTCATGATAAGGATGATGAAGATGATAGCTGCGAATTTGAAGGCTTTTTCATATCTGAAACTAGAGGTGAAATTTTTCAATTAATGCATGTTATAAAGAAATGTTAAAGTAGTAATAAATAAAAAATGATATAAAATAAGTTTTTCATTGTTGTTTTAATGCACCAAACATCAATTATTTAACAGACGGCAAAATGTGAAGTATGATTCCAGATCCAGAAAATACCACTATTGATAGTGACGAAAATGACAGAGAGGTTATTGAAAATGAACAAAAATTCAATTGAAAAATTAGTTGGAATTCTCGACACAGCAATTACAGGACTTGAACAGTGGAATTTTGTAACTAAACAAGAAATTACATCTGTCTGTAGGTTTAAAGAGACTGTATTAGCACAAAAAATGAAGCAAGTTAAACAAATAAATATTTAGCCTTTTTTTTTTTTTTTTTTTTTTTTTTTTTTTTTGTAAATTTTGATACACTTTATATCATGAATGGTTCATTTTTTCATAATTCATGATTTCATATTTTTAAATTTATAATTTCTACATGCCGTGTTACTAGATTTAAACTGATGATCTAATATCCGTAAAAATCCCAAATCCGGGACAGACGGAATCCCGACGAGTCTGGATCTCGGCCTTTGTACTGTAATTCATCTTGCATAAAAATATATTACCTATGTAATTGTGCATGCAGATTTTGAAGGAGTACAGATTAGTGATATAAATCATATTCATGTAAGAAAACAGGCGGATAGGTAATTCTGTATGTTATAACTCCAGCTTTGCCATTTGAGGCTTTCTTATTAAAGCTTGCAGTATTGTTTTTCAAAACTCATGTATGGTCTTGGCACTTATACAGCCGGTGTTCACACATTCTTGTAACGATATTAAATTGTAATAATTGAATTTCAGTATTAATTTTAAAACAAAAATGTGACTCGCGTCAAATTGGAATAAGTTTAAATTATCATCTGCAGCATGAAAAATATTTTCTTTAAAATTTCGCTGAAAAATAAACAATGGATTGAAAGTTATATTTTTGTGTTACCCAAAGAGAAATACTTTTATTCAGTTATTGAAAAAGAGATGTGAAAAACATGTTTTACATCTGACTGGAGGGGGGAAGGCAAAAAATGCATACCCAACAAAGGTATGTACAGCTCTTAATAAATCTAAAGTTGCATTTCATGTTTTAAAGGAAAATCCAGGCTCCCAAAGAGCTATTGCAAATATCTGTAAATACCTCTATAGGAACTGTGAACAAAATTATATTATCTGATTTAAAGCTAATCAAAATAAATAAATAAAAATGTTTATCACTTAACATCAAAACATGTTTCTCAGCATAGGACTGTGTGCAGATTGCTGTATGAAAATTATTTGGCAGGTGAAAAAACGAAATATATAGTTACAATTGATGAGGCTTGGATATACTTATCTGAATGCAATAGAAAAAGATCTATATACTACTGAAAAAGAGGAGAAAAAAGATTTAATATGTTGGTTCAAAGATAACAAGGAAAAATTTTCTAGAGGTTTTGTGGTTATTACTGGATTCTCTCATAACAGAAAACTTAAAATACGGAAAGTAGGAAAAAAATTTTAATTAATTTAGATTATTATCAGAAATATATTTTAACACACATTTTTAAAGAAATTCCATCTCTTTATCCAAACAATCTTCATTAAGTTCCATATGAATAAGGCTATACCTCTAAATCTACTGCTCTGTGTTGAAAAAATGAGAAATGAAACCGGAATTGAAGCCATTCCCTTTAATGCATCCCAACCAAGTTCCCTGATGTGTCTCCTATGGATTACTGTGCATTTGGTATTTTAAAACAAGCTCTTTATTGGTGACATCCTAAAACATTGATGAACTCTGGAAGACTGTGAAGGAGGAGCGGAATAAAATTAATTTTGGTGTTTCAAGAAAAGGACTTTAATCTTTGAAATCAAGATGTAATTTCATAGTTCGGAAAAAGTGCTATCAGATTGAACATACTAGGAAATAAAATTCTAAGGTTTCATTATATATCAATCTTATATGTTTTTCAGAAAAAGAAAAATCATTTTAGACTTTTTTTCCATTTCAGGCTTAAAAATCCCTTTCATTTGGTAATTTTCAAATATCTTGTTTCTGAAACTGAAATGAAGGAAATGGTTTAAGAGCAGAATTTGTGAGCTAATTTTTAATGAAAGCTCTTTCAAAATATTCTGATTTTAAAATTTATTTAGCAAAACAGTCATATTTAGCGTTCTGTGTAAAATTCATTTTACCTTTTTTTTTTTTTTTTTTCTCCAAGATTGTACTGATTTTTGTTTCACAAAGCCCACAGGAGTGTTAACCCTTAGAAAGCTGAAGCCTTTGCAAACCTGCATGCTTAATAAACTGAAACACACATCCCAGTCCATTTCCTCCACTCCCCATCCATCAACACACCAAGAGGTGTAAAGATTTCAAATGATATGCTTTCTACTTCTGAACATGTTGTCTGCCCCCCCTCCAAAAAAAACTGATAGAATGCAGTTTGGGGAACTGTGCCTGCTACTACATAACCTTTTGGGGAAAGGGAAGGAAACAATATTGCAATCTCTGCTATTTTAGGCGGTTGTGGTCATTTGAATGAAATGGCATTTTGGCCTTCAGAGGGTTAATAATTAAAATTTTTAAAATGTTTCGTGAGAAAATAAAGAAAAAAAATATGTTCACACTAAATATTATTTTAGGAAACAATTGTGAAAAACTTTGTTTAGTGTTTGAAAATGTTTTAGGACAGAGCAATGGAAACAAAATTTTCCAAACTTATTATATTTTCTTATGATGGCTCCCACTTTTAAAATAGCAGCAAGAGCTCTTTTTTTTACTTTTTATTTTTATTTTTTTTAAATTTTTTTAATGGACAGTGCCAAAGCACTAAGCCTATCCAGTGCTTTGATTTTGAAGGCCGGCTGTAACTGACTGGTTAGAACTTTAGAATTGGTGGCTATTTGCCAGTTGTTTCCAAAGAGCTCTGCATACAGTTGCCCTTCTGGCACAAGTCATTAATGAGAGGGCTGTATTGTTCAGATAACAGGAGCCTTAGTAAAAAGGAAGTACCTTTTCTACTTTCTACCCAAATGCGGGTCTGTTTACTCTTTTTATAGTTCCTTTAATTTCATTACTTTTAAGTAATTTTTCCCTATTGGCAATATGGCAAAATTACAAAAACGATTGTAATCTTATCACATGAACAATTGAGTCATGTTTCAAATTCACTTTTTTTTTTCCCTTGTAAACAAAACAAACTTTTCCACTTTTCACGGTAAGAACTCTGATATCTGTGTTAATTAAAATATTCAAAATTCACTGTTTAGAAGACTCATCTTATATATCTGAATATGAATTATGTCACTTCATAAAGTTTTCTGAGATTATTCTCAATACTGAAATTGCTAAATAGCAAAATTTTCTGTGGTTTCTAAATACATGCAATTTTTAGAGTAGGGCAAAATTTTAATTAAACTTCAAAATTTAAAGATAAAGAGGTAAAATTCTTCAAAGAGATGTTGTTGAGAATATTAACACTTTAGAAAATGTTATAGACACTGGTGGGAACACTAATCTGAAAGCAGTTAAAAGAAGGAAACAGATACAATACAGAGGCTGAAATCCAAAATCTGGAATAGTCTATATAAACAAACTAAAGTATATGTAAAATCTTTAGGTTTGAAAGACATAAATATATGTAGTGATATAAGTGTTTTGTATCCTTTTACCATATTTCTTTTTCTTTTCTAGAAACTTAACATAATAAATTATCTGTTACTTTAATTAATAAATTATAATTTAAGTTTAATCATTTATGTCTGTTACTTTAAAACTACAAAATTCCTATAGCATGTGATTTTAATAATGCTGTTATCTTAACAAATACTTTCTTAATTGTGACCATGTAAGTCTTCTTTGAGTGTGTTGATTATAAGTGTAAAATACATGAAATATTTGAAGAAATTATATCCCTTATGTGATGTTAATTGCTTGGTAACTTTAAAGAAGGTGTTTTTTTTTCCCCAAATTCATTTGACAATTATGTTACATATTATATTGTGTTTTTTAATATTGTATTCTATGTTCTGTGTATTTCTCTTTCCCCCCATTAGAATGGTATTGTAAGAGTGAAGTCCGTTTTATAAATAATTACTTTGTTTTATTCAGTTTCTATTTGCTGAGAGTTCCATAATATTTTGCATTGATGGACCATAAGAGTCTTTATAAAAGACCTTAATTTTAATGTAGATAAATATGTACAAATGCAGTTGAATAGTATTTGAAACCCAAGAATTTGTGTCACTGCTGCTGCAATGGGAGCATATTGGGTTAGTGTATTGCAAATTATGCATACCCTGGTCTTACATCCATTCAATCTATAAACAGAAGATTATCTACAACATTTGGCATTTTATTGCTTGATCAATAAAAACTTGGAGATCTGACAAAAGTTGTAGCAGATTTTGCATTACCCAAGGTGCACCAGGAGGAGCTTTGCTATATTACATTCTGAATATTTTTTCTCATTGTAATTGTCTTGTAGAAAAATATTGGAGAGCATGCAGCCTAATAACCTAGTGGCTGACAGGCTGGCATTTAATAAATAAATAATATAAAAAAATGTGGGTTTTGTACACTGGTTTCTGCAGCAAAGTGCAGGCAACTTGTAATTCCCAGTTGTGTTTTTTTTTTTTTTATTATTATTCATGAATCATGCATCCTTTTTCTACTGAAGATGTCTTTAATCCTCACAATTTGCACTTGTGGAATTAAAGAGAATCCACATGCTACACAATCATGTAGTGCAAAATATCACCTGACATTAATGTATGAATGTATATGATGAGTGACTGTTTGTCATACACCTGTTACCACCCCAAATGGATGTTTGAAATGATTGTGCTTTTCTGGAGGTTTCTGCCTGATTTACTGAATGATGTTCCCAGTGCTGTGTATTCCACTTATGGTTTCATCATGCTAGCTGCAGCCCATTATGCTGTTTGTGGATGTGAGTTTTTGGATCAGACATGGAAATTTATGCATAAGGCATGGGAGACATGTTGCATGAACTTGGTGCTGTTATATGTGAATATCATTCATACCAATTTTCTCTACCTACCTACTTTTTGAATGGAGTTCTGAGATACTCTGTATATATTTTTCCATGTTATATTCTCTATCCAAAGAGACAGAGCTCATGAAACCATTAGCAACCAAAGGTTGAACTTTGCCTCATTTTAAAGTACAAATTAACATGCCACCCTCTGTCTGTTAATTCTATTAGTAGTTGAGGTATGTTTTCTTTTTCTTTAAATTTTTATTTAAAGATCTGTGGTTATTAATTTTATAATGCTTATATTTATCATCAGGCTGGTAATGCAACAAGCTGTTTCAAAAAGATATGAACCATCTGAAGAACTGCTGGAAAAGGTGAGGCTGAAGTTTCCTTAAAAATTTTTTTGTACAATTTCAATGCTGTAACCTTATCCCCTTTCAAAGCCTAAACTTTTTAGTTTATGGTTTCAGTGAAACTTGTTGATTTTGGTGAATCTTGTGGAATACATAAAAGGTACTTGTGGAAAACAAGTACCTTTTATGTATGAACAAGGCTAGAATAAATTCCAGATCAACAAGTACCTTTTATGTATGAACAAGGCTAGAATAAATTCCAGATCTATAAATCTGACAGTTTGCATTCTGTAAAATTATATGATCCTGAAGACCTCCTGGTAGATATTGTAATGAATCATAGGAAACAAGAGATTCTTTTTGAAAACCCATTCTTATCATTGCTTGAATCTTGATATTTCTTGCATTGAGCATGTTTATTTATATCAGTAGTTAGTAAAGATAGTTTCTTATGACTGGCTTTGTTAGAGATTTTCTGGTGTTAAAAAGGAAAAACATGTCAACAAGGTAATAAAAACAAATTTTTGTTTAATAAATAAAATTGTAAAAGTTTTGTAAGGGGTGTTATTTATCCAGTTGTGTAAAGTGAAGCACAGGTACTTATTTATTAGCATAGGGACTGATTTAGGGAAGCCAGCACTGGGAATTTTAGCAAGCAATGTATTTATCTTTTTTTTTTCTTCCAGATTAAGAGCATGAAAATTATTTCGAGCGTAATTTTATTGGTGAATATACAATTCATTCACATAAAATAATTTGCCACATTTTTATAACACTTTACTTTCACAGAAAGAGGGAAAAAAAAAGTATGTATCATTTATCCCTTTTTCTGTAGCTCACTTCTCCCTTGTAATAGCATTTATTTTTTTTTGGTATGTAATTATATTAAAAAATAAGAGTCTTATATTCAGTAAATCTTGATTGATTAAATTCTTAAAGTATGATTTGATTATTTATTTATTTGAAAACAATCCAAAATTAATGTGGAAGTTGTGAAAAGAAAAATTAAACAAAATTCAAATAGACTTGACTTCTAAATGGCACATCTTTGGTCCCAAAGTATTTACAAAAAAAAATATATTAAACTTCAAGAAGACATGACTTTAAATAGTGCATCCTTGGTCCTAAAAAGAATCAGACTTCTGCTTTGTTATCAAGATTCTGCTGTGTATCTAAGCTGAAAAAGCTTTTTGTTATTCCTACAAAAAATCACAATTATGATCCTTGTTGTGATTGGTTTCAACTATTAGGTAATGTAAGTCATATTTTTGGAGAATTTTAAGCCCTGTAATTTAAATTAATATAATAGTATCTGTTGTAACTGTAGCTGTTTTAGAGCAGTACATGTATGACCTTCAGATTTCTATGTGTTGATCTAATTTTAGGTAACTGTAGAATTCTCCTATTATCTATCCTCCATCAAAACTACAGATGGATAAGTGAGACTCTCTTTATGTATGCAGATGTGATTTTCTAAGCACATATTTTTTAAATTATCCTTTTTGATTTTCCCATTTTCTTTTTCTTGCTTTGTAATGTTAGTATTCCCATTCTTAATTCATTTTGAAGTTCTAATAATTGAAATGCCTGTTGAGGACTTCATTTGGTATGTGTTTTCAAAAGCATACTCAAAATTAATAAATGAATAGTAACTATAAAATAAATTCTCTAGTGCTTACTGCTGTTAGTGTTTAATTAACCATCCACATCAGCAGCACAGTCCAACAGAAGAAACAGCTATTAATAAGCAGACACTGCCATCAATAATAAAAAATAAAATCTAGCTGCTACAGATCTGTACAGTTTTCACTGAAATATGATACCAAAAGTACCACAATGTCAATGTAGATGCATCTGTGAAAAATGTAATATGCAACTCAAGCATCATTATTTATTACTCAACTAATTAAATTCATTGTACGATTTTTAGTTGTATTATTACATTGTAATATTGAGTATAGTATAAACTATATTAACCAATAATCTGATCCCTTCCCTATTTCCACTTTTCTGAGCAGCTGTAATCTTCATTACCTCTTTCCCCTTAGTTTCCTTCTCTTTATCTTCCTTTTGCATTACCATTTAGAATGTTAAGTGTTAGTTTTTATAGGTTTGCAATAAATTAGATTATTAAATTTATTTATTCTATTAATTACTATTAAACAATGTTTTTCAAGTATTTAGAAGTGAAAATATTTCATAATCTATCTTTTGTATACTTATGCATTAGGCAGGTGACTCTAGGTGAACTCCTATGTTCGCTTAATTATAAAGCTGCCCTAGTAAAAAACTGAAATCACTGAAATTTGTTCAGCTCAAAAAATTTAAATACTGCATTTCATTATTTTGTATTACCTTAAAAATCAATTTCACTTACACAATTCAATTATTTCAATTATTGTATCATTATTAATGATACAATTTACAACACTTCAAGTGTGTTGTAAAAATTATATTTTTCTTTTAATATGTCTTTTTGAATACTTGTAGAAAGCGTGTTATAAACTTTCCACCTCATATGCTTTTTTTTTTTTTCTTTTTAAATTTATATAGCAGTAATGTAAAAGTAACTTCCAGATGTGACAATCATTTTGAAACATATGATGACTGAGTATCCTTTTGACTTTGCAAGCAATAAAATGTAACAGTAACATGTTATTGGTAGCTGCATTTGTATTTTTGAATCAAGTAATTTAATTGAGTGGAATTTTCTTGATTTTTTTATCAAAATCTGCATAAAACATAGACATTATGGAGTCTTGAATAGTCTCCTCATTCTTGTAATAAATAAAATCAATCTTATTCTAGGATGTTGAGTAGAGGAAGGCTGCTTTTGTGAAATTATTGTTTTGCAACATTTGAAGTGTTAGTAATAGTTTTGAGATATTAAGAAAATATTCTGTAGTTGAAGTACGTAACATGTATGATATTAGACACATTTCTAATTAATGATACAATTGCTTAGTATTTCATTTTATAGCACTTATGATTTCAGATAACATATTACTGGTGTTTGGTTACTGGAGGATGAATTAGGGATTTGTATTTTTGGTATTTGTGATTAGTTCACTAAAGTTCCTGTCTTGGCAGTTATAAAAATGTACCATTAACTGGAATCATTCTGATAAACAATTTGTAACAGCATGTACTGAAAGAAATTATCCCCTTACATGCACTGTAGCTACATTAGATGTAGCCATGTATTTGCCGTGGGTGCCAGATAATAAGAAAATAATATATTGCAGTTCTAAGCAGGAAAATGCGATACATAATTGGGTAAGAGAAATCGAAATTTATTTATTTATGATATTTTTTAGCATCAGTGATAATTTCTTAACATTTCATTTTATGATTGTGAATTTCTTACAGAAGAAAAACTTGATAGCTTGCTTTCAATTTGTCAATTAATAAAAAGATCATTTTGCTTTTTTTTTTTTTCATGTGTGTCAATATGTGATAATAATATTTTCACTTAATACATAATTTCAGCTACGAGAAGCCAGAAAATTTGAACAAGCAAATAATCCTCATTACTTGAAATCAGATGATAAGGTAGGATAACTTATTGAATCTTAAACCTTTGTTTATAAGCTATATATATTTATTTGTAACAAAGGTGAACTTTGTAATTTGTGCATATTTTTGCATTTCTTGGTTAATTATGTTAAAAGCAGCAACAAAACTAAGCTTTTTCAAAGAATTTTTTTTTAAGTAGACATTCATAAAATTTTCTTATGTGAGAAAAATTTTTATAATGTATGCTTTTAAAAACCTCATTTAATTTTGCTTATAAAATTACTATTGTCTTCTGAACTGTAACAGATTTACTGTAAAGGAGTACAGTGTATTGTTTTTGTGACTTGTACCTTACAGTGTGCACCAAATTGCCAATATATTTCACATAAGAATTGGCTAAAGCTTTTGTCACTTTTACATAATGATTACTTATTATTGTCCGTTTGTTAAGGAATCTTTATCATTCTGTGTTTATTACGGAATCTTGATATATCATCACAACTTTACTCTAGTGAGTCGCATATTTCTCATTACTCGATGCTTTTCATCCTAAATGTAACTGTATTCAAATCTCTCGTAAACCAAGTGTAATTTAAGACGGCAGACTTCATTGTTATTCTGGACATAGTTCTGGACTTAGTGTGCATTTTTATTTTCCAGGTTTCTGTGTAAATAATTTTATTGCTATTTTTTACATGGCTGAGCTTTAATATAATTTACTTTCTTAATATTATCCTTTACAATTCATTTGTTTAATAGTTTAATTGCATTTGCCAAAAGAACTGAACTTTTGCCTCATTCCTGTTGACAATTAATGTAACCTTATCAAATTGGGAACTGAGGATGTTCATGATACCTGTATTGAATAATGCATTTATGTAAGAAATAATTACCCTTGTTATGTTGTTTACTAGCGTACCAAGAACTAATTATATATATATATATATGTATATCTTAAAAAACTGTAATTGTTTCATAAAAATTTTTCTGTGTAAAAATATATGGTATTTTTCTTACCTCTTTGTTTATTCAAAAACAGGATGATTGTTACAGATTTTGAAATTTAAATTAATATTTCATTGGTATATGAGGAATGTTCATTAATATCTAAGCCTAACATATAACAAAAGATTTTTTGAGAAACCAGTTTTTTTTAACCTAGTGCCTGTGAACATGAATATATATAGCTTGCTTATTCAGTTTTCCTATTGTGAAATAGAATAAGAGTCTCACTGGGAAAAACATATGCAGGTATTCGCAGGTCTCTATAGACACAGTGTAAGTAGTTAGATCTGTAGCTGTGCTTTGAAAAGCCTGTTTACAGTTATTATCTGCAACTGTATATTCAGCTTCACAATGCATTTGTGTGCGATGATTTAACTTGAACAACTTGAGTGTAAGTGGTCTTCCTTTGATTCATTACTATATAAGCAAGGCTGCTCATCTCTTAATACAGTAGTGTTCTGATGACGTGCACACTGGGGCCATGAATTGTGTAGATTAGAGAATTTCAAGTGTTATAAATGATATCATGCCGAGTTTTGTTTACATATTTCCTAAATTTTACATTAAATGTAGGTGTTTGTACATAAATATCTAAACAAATCATATCTTTTGAATTATTTTATCAAGATTTATTTACTAAAAGACTGTGGTACAAAGTCCAAAATTGGGACGTCCAGTACCTGTAATAATCTAATATCTGGACCGCCAGCCAATATATATATATATATAATAAAATAAAAATATGTTTCCCTTATTTCTAATAATTTTGAATATATTACTGATATAAAAAAGGCAGATGTTCTCTAAATGTGATTTTTCTCCAAATTTACTTAGATTTCTGCTTATCATTTTCAAACCCCTGCTGTCTAGGAAGTTGCATAGTGATTGATGCTGTATTAATGCTCGGCAGGATCACAATGTCAGCCTTTAAGTGCTTATGGAGAAGTAGCATTTTTCTTTTGGATTTAAGTAACAAGTGAAGCTCAATTTTTATCATATATCATCTTTCTAAATTTAAACTGATGATTAGGAAAGTTTGAAGTCCCGGCGATTCCACACACATTACTATTTGAAATCCGGGTGTCCATTATCTGGAATGATCTAAAATCCAGACCTCAAAACCGCCAACAACAGTTTTTTTTTCATTACGCATGTGCATTTGATTCTCCCCTCCATGAGTAATAAAACATCCGGAGAGTTCTGATTCTTAATTTCACTTCGACACTAAATAAAATCCCTTGTTTTGGAAGAAACAATTATTTTAGCATAAATTTGGCTCCGTTGCTGCGTATCTGCTTTGGCACACATCTGAAACCGAAACATTCCAAATATATGCATCATTGATACGACGCCAATCTGGCAAATCATTATTTATTATACTTTACTTTCATCGCTGCATGTTTATCAAAACATGACAACTTGAGTAATAACTCATGTAGCGATACCTAAACAATTTTTTTATGTTAGTAATTGAGTAATAAATGAGCATGGTAACCTTTTATGTTGAATTACGCTTGGCGATGATTACAGATTTAAGTTAAATGTGCTAAAAAAAATGTTCTCAAGGAAAAATTTAACAAAAATTTCTTTCCATATGCTAAAAATAAATTCTGTTCATGATACCCATAGACCCAAAGATTACATTTAGTATATGTGGGAATTTAATTATTCAAAACTCTGATAAGCCTTAAGCATGTGCAAGAAATAGACATATGTACAATAAATAACTAAAGAAATCAGGCTTAATTGTCTCGGTACGCGATTGAAGCGAGATAAAATTTAATAGAACAACTTGTTAGTCGTCAAGCTTGTAATGCATAGCCAAATATGTATAGTGAAGGATAGCTAAATTTGATGATGGTAGCTGCTAATTTTAAAGGTTTTCGGATATAGCAAAACAAAGGTGAAATTTTCCAATTAATGGATTTTGTAGTTGGATCCCAGCAGAACCAACACCCTTGGTGTGCCCACTTATATGGCGCATATTGATGTGTACATGGACGAAGTCAAGGGAGTGTGCAATTCTGATTTTTTTAAGCGAAAATAAGTTGATGTGTACATGGATACTGAGTTTGTGCAATTCTTTGACTTGTTATTTTCAAGTTGGTGAATTTGAGAAACATGCAAAGCAGTGGGCGATTCTGCACTTTACCGGTTTGTCGCCAAGGGTGTGGGCTCTCCTAAGATTTTACCGATTTTGTAAAGAAATGTGGAGAAGCGGTAATAAATGAAGATGATATAAAAGGAAGTTTTTTCAGTGTGATGAGAATGCTTCTCAGTCATAAATCATTAATGAACGGCGAAATCTGTAGTATGGTTCTAGATTCAGAAAATACCACTACCGATAGTGAAGAAAGGGGCAGAGAAGTTATTGAAAACAAGAAAATTTCAATTGACAAGTTAGTTGGAATTCTCAAAACAGCAGTTGCAGTACTTCAAGATTATGTCTGTCTGCAGAATTAAAGATAAAATATTAGCACAAAAAAGAAACTTTTAAAACAACTTGCATTGAAAGAAATGTTTAATGAAGTAAACAAGTATTAAGCTTTTTTTTTTGTTTTGTTTTGTGTGTGTGTGTAAATTTTGATACCCTTTAGATCATAAATACTTCATTATTTCATAAATCATAATTTCATATTTTTAATTTTATAATTCTACATACCATCTTACTAGATTTAAACTGATGATCTAATATCTGGAAAATCCCAAATCCGGAATCGCCAAAGTCCCAGCAAGTCTGGATTTCGGACTTTGTACTGTATTAACTGTATATTACATATATTTATATACAAAGAAAGTCAGTCAGTACTGGGGAAGCAAAGTAGGAGCATAGGAATACATAATTGAATTTTTTGAGAAAGTAAAATACTCTTTTATAAAAATGCATTGAAATATTTTATTAAAAAAACAAATGTCTGTCTGTCTGTCAATGAAATTATTTTCAAAGCACTTTTTATGCTCTTGAACTAGGGAATAAAGTAAAAATATATACATTGCTTTCAAAATGCCAAGCACAACTGTGTTTATTCAAAGAAATTTTGTGTGTTTTTTTATTGTAATGTTACTCTATTTTCCATCTTTAACATCAGAAAAATCTCTAGAAATGCTGTTTTTAAGAATCTGTTCTTGTTCACTGCTGATGCAAACATGCTTGCAAAATTGACTTCGACAACATTTGGACTTTATTGACCAGAAGTTTACTTTTTCAGTATCGAAGAATACTACCATATTTAATTTATTATCACTTTTATAAGTATAACCAAATAAACATTACAACAGAAGTAGCCAACCTCATAATCCCAATTAAAGATTATAACCAGGTTTTTTACTCATGCTTATCGCATGAACTCAGAATTAATTAAAAAAGACAATGAATGTATTTTGAACTGATTTCTTATCTCAGCTAATTTTCAGAAATTTGTATTTTGGGTTTTTCTAAAAAAGAAAATGATGGCACATACACAGGCATAACAAGTAACTGCAGTTATCAAATAAATTTGCTTCTTCTATCAAACTGTATTATAAATATAATGCATTTTTTTAAACTTTATTTTCTTCTTCATCTAAGGAAGAAGATATTGAAATTGAAATTTTGTTTGTGTACATTAAAAAATGAGTGCACATTACAGGCATTCACAAATTAAGCAGTCACAGGTTTCATAATTTCACTGGTTCCTTATGTAGATGTAGATTTCCCTTATTCCTTTTGTTTACATTCTCAAGTACTGTCCAGATACAACTCTTTATTAATAAAAAATTTGATAAATGCAGTGTGATTTTTTCGCGTCTTTAAGGATTCTCACCTAACTTGAATAGTGTGCAGAGTTGCCAACTCTCCCGATTTTCGACTGCTCTCCCGCCAACCCGATTTACAATATATTTCTCCCGACTTTTTCTTATTCTTAAAATTTCTCGCGATTTTTATGGAACTTTGCTTAATACTTTGCTATATGAACAAACAAAAAAAAAATTGATTTTGGATGTCTGAAAGCAATTAAATTCTCTAGATTATATCTAAAACAAAACCTTGCGAATCAGATAACTTCTGCTTTGTGAGTGAGAGCCTATACATATCCAGAAACGTCATTCTCCAATGGGCATCAAGTTCCACCGTGTCATCTGGCATATATTAGCCAATGAGGACAAAGCAAGCTTTTATTTAGATGTTCTTTAGTTATCTCGTTCATTTTGTTCTCAGTTGTGTGAGTACATGTGCCTTCAAGAAATAGTTTTAGAAATTATCATCTTTTGTTATGTCTGCGAGAAAGGTGAAATACTCGTGTACGTTTCAAAAATCATACAGAGTTGACTTTCCGTCCATTATTTCCTCAAGAAAATGTAATAAATTTGCGATGTGTAATGCCTGTCGTTGCGATTTTTTGATTTCACATGGTGGAAGTGCGATGTTCTCAAACATGTGCATACACAAAAACACAAGGACAACATGAGTTGTTTTGAGTGCAGTTTACTTTCTGTCCCCACTTTAGAAGGACATTTGACAGCCTTTAATATAGCATAGCTAATTATTAAAACTTTAAAAGAAAATGCAGTCCCTCTGGATAATTGCTTAGCACTTGGTGCCGATAATGCGCCAGTATTGGTAGGATTGAAGGCTGGTTTTGCAGGCATCTTAAAAAAGGAAAATTCAGATTTGCAGATTATGAGGTGCACCTGTCACCGCTTAAATTTAGCTGAAAAAGGGGCAGCTTCTTTGCCAATAAATGTAAACGAACACATTGTTCATATTTATTATTATCTTGAAAGGAGTTTTTAAAGGAAGGAAAAATTGAAACAGTTCCAACAGCTGCATAACAGCAGTTTACAATTAGAAAACTTGGATGAAGTTATAAAATCAACTAGGTTTGATACCCAGTGGAGTTTAATTGGAAAACTGAAAGGTGCTGATGGAATTTTAAAATATAGTAAACTGTCTAGAATTATGTTGGCCATCTTGACAGTTCCCCATAGTAATGCAGAGTGTGAGAGGATTTTCAGTGTTGTTGTAAAAACGAGGACTAAATTTAGATCTAATGTTAGTGATGACACATTAGAAAAACTTTTATTAGCGAAAGCAGGCCTACATGGCAATTGCTATGAACAAAATTATGAAGTTTCTTTCTTAAAGAAAGCAAAATCTCCCACTGTTTATAACATTTGTATGAAAAACTGATTAAAGTGTCTTTTTTTTTTTTTTTTTTTTTTTTTTTTTTTTTGTGTGTGTGTATGTGTGTGTGTGTGTTTTCCTTTTCTTAAATGATGCAAGTAATAAAAATGTTTCTTATGTGTATTGTTGTTAAGGTATTTTTGTGTTGCTTGCATTTAAGAATTAGTTACTATTCAAAGTTATTAACTATTCAAATTCATTATTAAAAACTATATTTTTATCATTTAAAAAGTCTTTTTAACATTGTGAAAAATCTCCCGATTTCTTAAAAAAAATCTCCTGATATTTGAGTGTCATAGGTTGGCAAGTATGAGTGTGCTTCAGAAAGACTATTATGCTGTGTTGTGGCAAGTGCACTGTTAGAGAAACATGATGCAATATCAACAGAATATTTCAGCATCATTCTGTTTAGGCTTTGAACTTATCTGAATATCTTCTGTATTAATGAGAATATAATAATTTTTTTTGCATTAATTAATCAACAGTAACTGTTTCCATGTATCATGTGATTGAGGATTCTTTTTTCCCTTTCCAGAGTACTGATGTCAGTGCTATTGATGATATTCCTGTAGCTCAAATAGATTTATCTGTTCCGCTTCATATTCCTGGTAATATTCATTCTTTTAAATTAAAAATTTTAATTAATAAATCTAACTTGCTCTCCTATTAATTTCAACTTGTGTTTAAGTGCATGCTAAATGATAATATTCTTTCTTATTGTTAAAGCCCTAATTTGTGGATTATACATTTTATGCTTGAGTAATCAAGATTTGCATGTTCAATCAACGTAAATGGCATTTTTGGCAATCTTTGTGCCCATCCATATCCAAAACCTTAGCATCAATACAGTAAGACCCTGCTTAACATGCGCCGCTATTTTAATACTGTATTATACTGTAGTATTGGGATTCCTTGAAATGAGTATTGCTGGTTTGGTTTAGGATTTAAAGATGCAAAAGGTTTTTTAACAATTCTACTGGGTGGTAAAATAGTGGAGACTTTAAATTCAAACTCCTGCTTGTTTATCATTCCAAACAAGGAGCATTGAACGGAATTTCAAAATCATCTTTACCAAATATAATAATAATATATACAGATGTTATTATTATATTTAATAATTATATATATATAGTAATATAGAAGTCCAATAAAAAAATTTTAAGAAATTATTTACTGAACATTGTTGCCCATATTTTAAATGCTAACAGGGATTTAAAATCTAGAACCGGAAGCTTTACTTTTGATTGATAATGCTCCAAGCCATCCAAAGCATTTGTCCAACTTAACAGCATGCATTCCAGTAGAAGTCGTTTCCTGCCACCAAACTCAACTTTATTTATTCAACCTATGCATTAAAGCATAATATCAAATTTTAAAACTTATTATCTATGACAGACATTCTGACAACTGACTGATAAAACTGATGCAGAAGATAAACAGTCCATCAAAGATTTTTGAAAAAAACTATATTTTGTATTCTGTAGTTAACAGCAATCTTTCCTGTGATGAGGTGACAGAGAAATATGTGAAAAAAGTATGGAAAATGTATGGGCAGAGCTTAGCAAGAATATTGATATAAGAAAATCCAATTTTGAGGTCAACAAAATTGTAAAGCTGGCTAATGGAACAGGCTTGTATAATATAAATGCAGGCTATTGAATAATTACTGCAAGTTACAGCTGGTGAAAGTTCTCCAATGGTAATCTTAAAGAAAATTAGTAGAACAAAAAGTGCACAAGGATGGCAAAATTAGTGTTTCTGAAATTGAGGAGCAAAAGGAATTTTAAACATGGTTTCTAAAAATGTTTAGCCATTATGTAAATTATGGATTTGTATATATAAAATGATTTATTGCTGAACAAAACAGGAAAAGTTAAACGATGCAAATGATTTAAACAATGTTGGATGTCAGATTAAATGATGCTGGATGTGTGTGATGACACACAAAAACTATCAAACGAAGTACAGCCTTCCTTATTACAAACATAATTTTTTTACTTGAACTTTTTTTTTTTTTTTTTTTTTTTTTTTTTTTTTTTCCGTAAATGTTTTATGAATAAAAGTCAATATCAGCAATAAATAAGTCTGTAAGTAACTTAATAAAAGATTATTTAACTATAAATGTTACAAAATTTTTTTTAAAATGATAATTTTCCATATTCTCTCTTCTGTTTCGCTTATTCCCATTACTTACATGTTAAAATGATCTTGTTTAGCACTGGAATTGATTGAAACATATCTTGCGTATTTAACGGGGTCTTACTGTATATTTATGAAAGGTCTATCACCCAAGTTCAGAGTAAGTTACACCAATACACTCCTACTGGAAGTTCCGTTTACCATGATGAAATTTTGTCACTATTGGCAAGAGTTAATGAAAACAGTGGAGGAGTGGAATCTAATTTGTTCTTATCTCCTCCATTAAAGTGAAACAACAGGCTGTATGTTACACCATACAAAATCAGTTAACTAACATTATTGCCAAAAAGCTAAAATTGTGTATCAATAGTGAGAAGTGTCACAGCTGACCTTGTCTGTTTTGTAGATACAAGTAATGTGTGAGAATGGTAACTCCAGGCTTTACTTTCTTAAATATTGATCCTAAATACTTCATAAACCCAAACCTTATTTATGAAGTATTTGGGTTTTAGCGCATGGCAAATCGAGAGACGGTTTTGGGTACCATAAAATGTGGATTACTTGAAACCTTTTACATAGATGACTTACAGCAAACTGCATTAAACTGGATTTAATTATTATAATCATTGAGCTGTCATATATTTTTACAGGAATCAAATTTTCAGCTCTCATAATCTAAGGTTTCTTTGTAAATGCATATTATTGCAATATGCATCATTGTGAAACAAAGATCAGACACTCGACCAAATTTCCATACCGTGAATTAACATTATAAGAATAATAATTGATCCTATTCCTTTCTTTACAAGTACTGAAAAATTTGGATAATTGTATTTTAACTTTTAAGAAAACATTTTGTATCTTTCATGTTTAAGGTCTCATTTCTTCTGAGAAGTATCTTAATATAGAAAATGGTATTTCAAAAAAGAAGCATCGGAAGGTCAAGCGAAAAAAGAAAAGCAAGAAGGTTAAACTTCCTCCTGAGAGTGAAGAAGATATCCCCCCTTTGCATGTTGTAAACATTATTGAAGGAGAAATGCCAGATGGTGCTAGAGTAAGTGCTGATGAAGATGATCGAAATGTAGATGATCCTCATCGAGCCTTAAATATTGACTTGGAGGAGTAAGTATTAGTTCTTGTTTCAGTAAAATATCTGTATTGTCATTAGTCATGTACATTAAACCTGAAATCATTTTACATATTTGACCCTGAAATTATTGTGTGAAGTGACATTGAAGATGGAGCTTGGGAGTGTAAAAATTTAGATGTCTAGGATTTAGATAAAGAACATTTGTAATACGGTCAAAAGTCTTTATTTCGGACACCCATAATGCGGAATGATCTATAATCCGGACCTCAAAGGTACAAACTTACGCGGTCTTACGCGCATGCGTCACATGCGCGTAAGACCTTTACGGCTGTGAATTTGCGTGTGCACAAAATACGTTTACGAATGCGCGTTTAATGTATAACGGGGTGGTATAAGCTAAGCTAAAATTATCTAATTATCTATTTCAGTTAATGCTGCAGATTGCATTGTTCTTTTAATCTTCGAATTGTATCCGGCTTATTATTTTTTGCAGACTGTTAGAGCAATTTTATAAAAGTAAGCTTGAACTTTCGATTATGTCAAATAGAATTTCCGATATATATTTACTAATATGTAAAGGATCTACAAAGCGAAAGTATGTTTCGGAGTCCATTAAACAAAAAGTGGAATTGCTGCAAAAAATGGATAAAGGCATATCCTTTGTTTATCTAAACTTTAAACGTTTGTTTATCTAAAACTTTGTTTATCTTTAACGCCACGCGCGGCGCGCAATGAATTGGAAGTTGATCTGTCAGCACTATCCTTATCTTCAGGGCAGATGTTTTTATTTTATTTGGCTTATAATTCCTTACTAAATGTAGTATTTCATCTCGATGTACTCCGTCTTTGATATGATTTAAATCAAATTCCTCGTCATTATAATTTCGCTTCCGATAGCGAAGAAAGTGACAGAGGTTATTGAAAACGAAAAAATTTCGATTGACAAATTAGTCGGTATTCTCGACACAGCAATTATAGGACTTGAACAGCGGAACTTTGTAACTGAACAAGAAATTATGTCTGTTTATAGAATTAAAGAGAATGTATTATCACATAAAAAACGAAGCAACTTAAACAACTCATATTGAAAGAAATGTTTAATAAAGTAAAAAAATAAATATTAAGTTTTTTTTTTTTTTTTTTTTTTTTTTTTTTTTTTTTTTTTTTAGTAATTTTGAAACTTTTTAAAGCATAATTGTTCTTTATTTCGGAAATTACAGTTTCATGTTTTTAATTTTATAATTTCTGCATGCCATTTTACCAGATTTAAACTGATGATTGATAATCCGGAATCGCAGACGTCCCGACGAGTCCGGATTAACTACTTTTGACTGAATATGCCTTAGAATAGTAGAAAGCAAATTTTAAACTGGAATCTCATTTATTTTATCAAGGAAACTGTCTTGCTAGTAGAGATCACATTTAAATTTTCTTTGCACCATGTTGTCTTGTATAATATTCTGATTAATATCAGTAAAATTAATAAATCAGTTTAATGGAGATGCAGTTAGATATGCCAATAAAATATACCAATGCAAAACTTGGTGTTAGTGAAGAAATTTGGCATAATGATGTTTAAAAAGTTAAGAAAGCTAGAGAATGTGCCATTCTTAAATATTCAGTTTCTCCATGTCAGATGAATGAATTGTAAAAATCGGAAAAGCCCCATGCGGCACCTTTGACAACCACTTACAGAAATGAATTAACATGGGGTCTCTATGTCCCTCTGGCTCATGGAACCCTCTAGCAAGACTGCTCCAGTCAGAATGAACGTATTATGTCATAAAAACACTTTTAAAGTTGTCATTCTTATGTGTAGTTTGTGACTTCAAAAGTTTGACAGAAAACAAGGAGGATCTGAACAGAAATTTAAGTAATTTCCGGTTTGTTCTTAGAAATGCAAAACAACATTTAAGAGATATAAGTGCATGAGATTCTTATTAAAAATTCAATGTGACCTCTTTCACCTTACCACAGAATGCCAACAGCTCTCTAACAGCATATTTAGTTGTATTTTTCCATAAACCTTATTTACATGAATTAAAAATAAATATTTCATTCTCTTTATACATGTGTCATTTTGATTTAACACAAGTGAGCAAACCCAGTTTCTAAGAATTTTCTTTTATTTTTTAAACTTAATTTTGAAAACATTTTTATTTGTAATATAGTAGTAACACGCATGCTCAAACAGATTGCATTACAGCTAGTGGAGGAATGAAGCAGTTGCCCATAGTGAATAGTAATTCACAACTAAATGTATTATTTTTTCTTTTGTTTCCAAGCTGTGTGTAGTTAGAATATGGAACAGAAACCAACATTTTGCATCTTCAAAAGGTATTTAATATGTAGTTGTGTTTCAGAGTAGAAGCTATTTAAGAGGTCTTTGGTGCACTTATAAATTTATTAATTTTATTGAAATTTAACAAACTAAGTTTACAATTTTTTTATGCTTTATTTACTTACAATAACTGAGATACAAAGCAGTACAAGGTGTTACATCTGTAGAGAAGAATTTTGTAGTACATGAAGCAACTCGAGAACTATTAAGAAACATAAAACTGCACTTAGAAAGTTGGTACATTCTGAAATAAAAATAGGTGTTAGTTTATCATTAAAAGAGATATTGTCGAGGAGCTATTGGAAAGGCTGTGGTAGAATGCATAGAAGTCAAAAAAAAAGAAAGTACCATTAAATGGAAATGTGTCAAGCAAGCGCTACGACTTTACCATCTCAATTTTCTGCATGCACAGGTTGGATGACAGTTTCATAAAAGGATACGTCATAAATTTTAAAGGTGAAACTTCATTTCTGGATAAATCAGTTGCTGAAGTATTTCCACTGCAACTTGCTAAAATTATTGAAAGTGAAGGATGCACTGATGATTAAATGTGAAATTCAGATATAATGTCTTCTGGAAACTAATACCTAACAAAACATATAGCCAAATCACACAATGGTGGTTTTCAAGATAGCTAAATATCATTTGACTGTATTCTTTTGCTGTTATGATTCAGGACATCATCACTGCTGATAAATCAAGCCCTAGATCGAATACACTGGTGGACAATTGCTAACGATGGATGACAGTTCCAGTGATAGCAACCAGAAAATGGAAGGCTGGAATATGTGTAAATTAACATAATTGTGGGATACAGTAAGGCATGTTGTGCATATGGAAATTTTGGATTGCCGAAGTTTTTTGTCACATGATGTGCTGATAAAAGAGATAAAGGTTGTGACGCATATTCACCTTTGTTGTTCGAAAGAAAAATTTAATGGAAAAGAATCAATTGACAATTTGCAGTATGTTTTCCCATCTTCCTGACATAGATTTTTTTTTTTTTTTTTTTTTGCATGGCTATATTATTGGCAAGATTGAAGAAGGGCAAAAAATAACACATGCTGCTAGGGATTTTGGCGTAAGCCATGGTGTTGTTTTAAGGCTTGGAAATCATATGAAATAAATGGAATGTGTAGCAAATGTCATGGGAGAGGCCATGTTCACAGCCTATAGAAAATAAATGCATGGTATTGTCGACAAATAGAACTTAGTGCAGCACTGCTATTGAGGTAACAAATTAGTTATGTGCTGCTACTGGAAAGTCAATATTCCGAAAAAATGAAGCCAGATGTTTGCATCAAGCAGCATATTTAGTTAAAACTAAATATATTATATGCTCACTATCCTGTTGCGTGCATTGCTTTCTCTAGACAGCAAAGTACTGCCCATTTGCAATGGCATCACGAGCATCGTAAATGGACTCAATAGAACTGAGCTTGTGAGCTTCTTAGATGAGAGCAGGTTCAGTCTGTTACTGGATTATAGACTTACTGATCTGGTGTGTGAGTGCACTGCTTATCACCCAGAAAATATCCAAGAAAGGACAGATATCCAAGATGCAGTATCGTGGTATGGGCCAACACTATGATTAAAGGCTGCATGGCCCTACATGTGGTTGAAACTGGGACTATGGCTAGCCAGTGAAATATTAAAGATGTTCTGCTGCCTCATGTATGCATGTTCCATGGTGCTGTTGGTGATACACTTGTTTTCATGGATAACACAGCATCTTATTGATTAATCGCTGTCCAGGAGTGTCTAAAGAGCGAGGATATTCAGCGCATCTAATGGTCAGCACATTTTCTAAATCTGAATTCCATGGGAAGGAGTCTTCCTGGTTAATAATGCCCTCCATTAAACAAGGACATCCTCATCCATGCACTGACAGAGGCATGGGATAAATTACCCAAACAGCTGTTGGAGAATGTTATGCAATGTATGACATGACATGTGGAATCTTACATCGCCCTCCATGGTGACCATAACCTGAATTGACATCTTATCGTGGAATGCCTGTGGATGGTAATTGCAGGATTTTTTTCACTTTTGCATATTCAGCATAATGTGACCATTTTGTCCCTTGAACACTTTTCTGAGCCTTCAGATCACAAAAATATTATCTTTATTTTTATGTCCTAATATTCTGACATTATTTTATTTCACTTGGCATCCAAACACACTTACTTTTTAATGCAGTATATAGCCATTTGTGATCCATCCTTAGCAGCTGTCCACCAGCGTATGAATGTGAACAGTCTTGAATTTAATTTTCTGATTCTTGATAATGTGCTTGGCCATCCTGTATCAGAACACTTAAATATACAAATTTTTATCTGCCATCTAATACTACATCTTTGTTACAACTGTTAGACCAGGGTGTAACTGCAACATTTAAAACATGCTGTAATTTTGGGTATTTGCTGCACACATGTGTATATGCCACCTTAGTGTCTATGCTGCACACATGATAAATGACTTTAAAGAAATGAAAATTCATCAGATAAGCTGTACTGTTATATACGCCACAGCAACAAATTCTGAAAAATGGGACTTAATATTCATTTATTCAGTTTCACATTTTATATTGATGTAGTTATCATTGATAATATTTTATAACATCTACAAAATAACTATAAACAGTAATATATAAAAAATGAAAATGAAAAAATGTCTTATCTTGAACTTTCC